AGTTTTGTCAGCAGTATGTCCAAGCATCTCATTCTGTTTAACAACTCTCAATTGGACAGCACAGCCTCCGCAGATGATACAGTGCCACAAATTACACCTCTTGTGTGCATCACAAGTCATTTGAGTATTTCCTATCAACCACTTCCTTTAGGAATGACATGGAACAACAATACAGGCACAACACGAGGCCTAACAGGCAGAACACAATGTGATTTGCCCAAATAGGGCAAGTTCTAGTAACAACAATCCTGCATCAAGCAATCATATTCCCAACTCTAAAAAGCTGTGATTGCCTGGAAGGTGTCTAATCTCATGTGTCTAATGTGTTGTTTGTGGGGATGGCAATACCAGAATGCATCATGAGACAAAATACATTTTGGAATGTATTGATAAAATATAGCTCAATCTCATTAATTATTCAGTGTCTCATATTTATTGTGCTAAATAAAGTTTCATATCACTAGCTTAGTGAAATGCTAATGTCCAACTCGAGTGGGTTTCTTTTGTGTGGCACATGGAATTGCTGCCTATAGTCACCTGAGGTTCCATTAAAGATGCTATGAAAAAAAGACAACCAGACAGCTCACTAGTGTACAGTACAGGGCTTGTGTTAGATGCTTCACATCATAAGCGTACTAGATCCTATTTAAAGATCAAAGTCTCTCGCATGATCATAGTCACCCTGGCAAACCCTATCATAGCCGACAAAGCGCGGTAATATTTGTCAACCAGAGCCACACTATACCCAGTTGTCACAATTGTGTTCCATTTCTGTCCAAATGCTCTTTCATGCCTTTCCAGTGAAATTACAGGATCAACTGTAACCAAATTTGCTATTGTTATTGAACTAATGCGTGCAAGAAAGATTTGAACTTGTGACTTCTTACAGCTAAGACAAGGATTATTCTTTAAGCCACATCAGCTCATCCTCTACTAGGGGTTTCCACATTATAAAATGGTGGATTGTAAACTAAGGTTTTTTTTGCATAAATCCTTATGCTGCATAATCCTAGATAAGAATTTTGCAGATTGTTCCCTATTTAACATGGTGCTATAATGCCAAGTACTCAGAAACAATGGAAAGTAGGATCCAAACAGAACTGAGCTCACCTTGAAAGATCTGACAAAGAACACTAGAAAAAGGGCAAACTGACTAATATGACACATTTGCAGACAATCAGGGACTAACATGGGGGAAAAGGGAACAGGAACAAAACTGAAAAACAAACTAAAATTCAAATGAATACATTACAGCTGTGTGCATTAATGGAAGCTTAATATACATATATTAGAGGAAACTGTACATTTGGAGCTTATCCAAATATGCCTTAATAAAAGAAACCTTCATTTCGGCAAACCAAAAATATTGCTGTACTCTCTTTTCATAGAGTACAGTAATCTCCAGAATGCACAGAAAGACAGCACTGAAATATTATTACATAGGCTGAAAATATATTGTTACATACTGTACATTCCTCACACCAGTATTGTGTGCATTATTTTTTATCAAAGTATTTGTGATTTTGTAACTTTGTGATGGTTTTGTACCCATCTATATTTATATATACGGTATGCTGCAGTTTCCAGCTGAAATGAACACCTCAAACAGTAAAACACCTTTCTTTCTCCTTTTCATATGATTACAGGGGCAGAGTGTTGATTTAATACATGCCATTTTTGTGTGGTTTCTTTGCATAATACTGTGTTATGACCTTAAAACAACTTTAGCACAGTGGATGAATTGATATCAGCATCACATAATCAGTTCTATACGAGTTTTCTGGCATAGGCTACTCACCTAAGTAGCGCATCACACTTGCAATGCTGAGTGCTTGGGCATGAGTCAATAAAAGAGCTCAAAGACTTTTAGAAGCAAGTTAAAATGGCATGGTTGCTTCACCAAATGTGTTTTTATTTCACCTTTGCTTTTTTGTTGTGTTGTGTTTTAGTGTTGTTGCTACATTATTTTCAAACACAATAGAGCATTAACCTTTTAGAGCCACTAACTGGACATTTCATTTTCGAACTCCCAAGATGCACACACAACCAACTTAATAAAACATTGCCAGATTCGTATTCATTAGTTTCCAGTAAAACTGAACAAGCTTTTCTAGCCACTTACTGGGCATTTAACTTAAAAGTGCCGTGAAATGTGAAAGGATAAATGTAATATAATTTGATATAAATGTTGTTTTTCTAATGAGCCTGCCATCAGTGGCAATGAATGCATTTCTATCTGCCTATCCATGAAATTCAAGGCACATTGCCCTATATTGTTTTCAGACATCATAGAGTCTCAAATACACTTTCACAAGTAAAGAGTACTGGAATGCATACTCAAATTAAGTTCAATCTTCCATTGGTCTTACAAGATCAAAATGAAGGAAAAGTAGAGCAATTTTCACACCTAGTGATAATGTAAAATGTCAACCCCCATCAAAGAAACCTCACACAATACATGACACAGTAGGAGGAAACTGTAATTTGAAGAGTTTTAAATTCTGAATAATCTATTATCAGTATCCAGATGCTGAGCTGAACTGATAGTAAGCCTCTTCGCTTATTCACTGAGCTCAGTTACTTTTGACTTATCTGTCCTGAGATGGTGTGTTGTGCTGTTGTGGGATAAACTGAAGAAGTATGTTTTCAGCTAAGGAACCAAACAGGAACCGGATGACAGGAGAACATGACAACAGGCTCGGCCGTAGAGCACACCGTTCCTTGTCGCTGTCGCCTCTGGCTTGCTTAGTTGGGGACACTT